CTGTATGTATATATATATATATATTTTTTTTTTGGGGGGGGGATTTTCTACTGTGTGCCACAGGAACTTTTACACTAAGCAACATGAGAGAGCTATTAACTCATTAGATACTAAGGAATAATGGGGTAAATACATTCTTATTTATACATCATTAGCAGTGGTATAACGTACTATATCGTATCTAACAACACTATGGATGTTTAGGCATGTGAAGTAAGAAAAAAAGTTCATAAAGGATTTTAACCATTCATAGATATACTTGTGTAGCACTCTAACACACCACATACATTCTAGTCCAGTCCAGTCCGGTTTCAGTCCACATACATTACAGTCCAGTTGAATGTTCAATATAGGAATCTTGGAACACAATGACTAAAAGTCATTGATCTCAATATAGTCCATCTAACTTAATTCAGGACTCAAAACGGCATTAGTATGCAGAGATCGTTGATGATGACATTATGATTATAATAGGTGACATCTTCTGTGTTCGGACATACTGATGTGTTGTGACAAAGCAGCATTTTGGCATATTAATGTGTAACAGTGTTGACAGCGTTGTCTTCTGTTCAATGTGTCCTGACATTGCCATCTTCGGACATATTGAGGCACACTGTTTTTAATCATTTTTCTTATTCAGCAAACAGGTACCCGTTACTAGTAAATTCTATATATTAGTGTAAATAACAATCCAGACATTTAATATATGTAATGCAGTACAATAGATAATCATGCCCAGATTACAGGTATCACATACTGGTATGCTACAATATAGTAAACTAAATGTAAGAGCCATGCAATCACAGAGGCAACTGCATCTCTAGTTTGCTCAGTTCACTATAGCTCAAGCATTACTGAAGACGAGAAGAAAAATAATACACATGTGAAGCAAGAAAATAACAGTACAGGGCCTGGAATAAATCAATTTTCATGACACATCATAAATCATATAACTGATCAAGACATAAAGGGTCCTTGTCATTGAAAGTACAAATCGGTTTTCTTGCAGGGTTATCTCAGCAGCACTATGTGACCTTCAGCTCTTCCTTGAACTTGCAGAAGTTTCTAATACTCATCTGTACAATAGTCTGTGCAATTAGTGCCCACAGGGGGTTATGATTTTATGCTGTTGCTGCAAAGTTAATAAATGTAAGAGCAGATGGAGAGCCAGAAAAGAACTCTGACATTGAGAAAGGCCAATAAGCATGTAGGGCTAAATGTTGTCATTGCATTCTTTAGATTTAATGAAAATATTTTGCAACCATTCATTGCCAATTAGCAGAGTTCTTCTTTAAAAAGGAAAGCTGTGCATGTAATGAGAATAACACACTAATTATGGGCAGCTCATTTGCCAAACTACAGATATAAAGCAGTACCTTTTATGGGAAGCACCCATTATAACAAAAGTAGTCTGCAGGGTCAGAGCAGTGTTCACCGCCTCTAGCAGTCTTCTAAAGGCAGGGAATCTACTCCAGGAGGATTAGGGGTATTGGGGTCTCTGTAAAGATGGCTCTTATTGAATGATGGCTTGCACAGTATACACCTGCACAACCCCAAACAGTGATTTAAAATTTGCCAATCTACAAATTCAATCATGTAGCTCCCATCACTGCAACCCTGTATACTATTATGTACTGGGTAGAACAATAAATGCTAATATATTACGTCTTATATTACACTAGTAGATCCCAAAGCATGTTTAGTTTGCTCAATTCTCTATAGGTGTAAGCAGCACCAAGAAAAAACATTGAGCACTGTGTAAAAAAAGAGGGGTGACTACTAAAATTGCCTATCACTGCCCATAGTAGTCAGTAAACAAAAGCACTACTATAAGTACAGTAAGATTTTGTGAAGGTCATCACAAGTCTCCCTCAAGCACCAGGCTATAGAGTGCTAATGATATGCCTGTGTTGACACATGCTATTACGGCACGAATAGATAAACGAAGAGCATACTTGGAGGCCACCCCACTACTCTCTATGGTGCTCTTGACATGTGTCAATACTGATGAACCTTGACAGCTTGCAGCTTTGACCTACATTTGCAAATTTGTGCAACTGAGGCCTCTTCTGTTATTGTAAATTGATAACAGTTTGGTGGGTCCGAGCAAGTATCAATGAGTGCTGGGGAAAATCATTCTAAACTGAGTAAACTGCACATCACATTGTACATCTCTCTTAGTAACATTAAACTGACTGGAACTCTGTAATTTTCCTTTAGAGTGGTACTGCATGAAAAAAACTATTTTATACATTATTAGGGTTCGTGGAGTAAAGATACAATCCTGCCTATAACAGTTAGCCCAATCTATCGGAAAGCCTATAATTTTAACAAATGATCTTCACTATGGATTAGGAGAAAAGTGGCATAACCAATTACAATAGAAAGGAAACAGCGCTTTCACTGCAAGGTGTCGAAGGCACTATATGTTTGATGACCTTACCACTTTCAGCTTCTAGTTTGCTGTAGCTAATTCAATTAAAATACTTATTCTATTTGCTACTATAGATTATAGAGTCTTGCACATAACCATAGTTATTGGCACTGCCTGAACAACCTGGAAAATACACAGTGTCTGCTTGGAAAATAAAATAACTTTTAGAATCCAGAAAAGAAGAATCTGCTTCAGTTTTATGGGAATTTCCAACTGACCTCCCCTTCCCACACACACACAGGCCACATTTGTAAGGCCTGTGAACAATTGATCATAAAGGTGAAAGCAGATTAATAACCACAGTTACAACTATTTATCAGCATAAGCAGCAGTTTATCATTTCCATTTCCTTTTGAGTAGCAGTGTGCATGTAGTACAACCAATATATCCCCAGTGGTTCCATAAAGAAAAGCTTATTTTCCCGCCAAACCAAACTGATGTAGAGGACAATGATTTATTATTGGGGAAGGGCTTCTTGTTATGGTCTGAAACACAAAGCATTTTTATTACACCAAACGAAGGTGTCTCACTCATGTTATACAATTAATATTAACTCCTACCTAATTATTATTCCTTTCTATGCATTGTACAGTCTTGCTTCAGTCAGCAAGTGATTTAGTAAATGTGCTTCCATTACAAATTTCATTCAAAATAGTTTCAGGATTCATTTACTCACTGAATAAGTACAACACTGTAAAAGGGATTAAACAAAAGCATATGGATTATTAGCTTATCAGCAAAAAAAACCTGCTTTTACATTTCTACATTATTAAATATTCATGAAAAAATGGGGCACATGGGAAAGGTTAGAGATGCCCAAGCTACCAAATCTGTCATTGTCTACAATGCCATGTATCACCTCCCTTCAAACGGCCATTCTCTCAGGGATCAAACATATATGAAAGAAGTACAAAAAAATAAAAGTTTCCATCAAATTTGTTATAACTGAAAGGATCAGTACACATAAAACTAATATTTCACTTTCAGATTTTTTTTTGTTTCAGTTTTTCCACCTGACATTTTTTTCATATGTGTCCGGGACTCCATAGGTCAGATATCGGCACTTAGGTTACCTGCTCTCCAAAACTGCAGTGACCATTGGGGTTTCCTCTTCTGTCTGATTCTTTATTTATTTGATAAAATAGAAAATGCAACAGGATTCTTTGAAACACACTAAGGAGTGCAGTAGCACCAACACATACAGATGGACAGGAATAGAGTTTGGATTTATTGCAGGGGGATCTCACTGTTAAACTATCTTTAATATATAAAAAGCCAGGGGTTGACTTAGCCTTCAAATTCACTCCCTGATCTTTATGACCCATCCATGTAGTAACACAGATGGGGAACAGACAATAGCCATTCAAGTTCTTTTATCTTTATTTCTTCTCCTACAAAACATTTCTATCACATTTTATTTAAATAAACAATTTTTTTATAATAAAGTTACAAAAAAATTATTGTACTGTACTATTGGGTTATGTAACATCAGTGTACAAAGTATTACTATTTACCTACCTTTAACAATAGCCAGCCAGCCATCCATTTTACAAATCTCCCTGGCCATGAGACATGCTGGTAGAGGTCAGTGTTCACTACCCCAGGATCCACTGCATTAGTAGTTACATAACAACCTTCTGCAGTAAGCTGCTGTTGTAAATAGTATGTGAACAGAACAAGGGCCAGTTTACTCTGAGCATATGCACCATGGGATGAGTAACAGTGTCTGTGTAAAAAGAAATAAAAAAAAAATCATAAAATAGCATAAACATTTCTAGAAAAGCAAGAAAATGTTACAAGGTTAAATAAGTAAACAAAGTGTAACAGTATATCTTCCTATATATAGGCGGTAACAGAACAAATGTAAAGGTCACCTCCTGCTGCATTTCCATTTTCTCTGCTGAGCTCAGAAATCGGTCATATCGACAAAGAGAGAAAGCTGGTAGGGGAGGCTGGTGGAAGTGAAACAGCTTATGTTAAGCCTTCAAAGTGTTCTTAGGACATTTAACTGGGTTAGGGAAGAATGTTTGCTGTACTGCACATTTCATAAGAAAAACGTTAAAAGAAATTACAAAAAAAAAATCTTAAAAAGTAACATTTACTATATTTAGCTAACCTTATGTTTACTACCATAGACTCTAGCAAATAACTTGAATGCAATTGTGGTTCTTCACGTTGTTGTGTAAAAATTATACAACATATACAATTGATATTAAAGCCATTCTGTGTATTATAGATTTTCATTTTAGCACTCAGACAGCCATCATTTGCTATAACTGTCCAAAAATAAAATTTCTACTTCTAAAATAGCAAACAGGATTCATTTTGTAGTCATAACCTCCTAGAATCTCCATCCTGCTTTACTTGTAATTGAATCACTGAGGTTGATTTACAAAAGGATTTGAGAATGTTCATGTAATAAAATGTGTAAAAACGTACTTTAATTATCCAACCAAGTTAAAGCGAACCTTTACACTGCAGTAATATCTAAGAAAAAAATCCCAAAAGCATCTATATATAGAGAGAGATATTAATCTCTCTCCATATATATAGATATATATATAAATATACACACCTTTTTTTTATGTTTAAATTTCGGCGCCACAGGCGGCCGTGTTAGAAGAGGGAAAAGCCATTCCTTCCGTGCCTTCTTCTTGGGTCAGCAAGGTAAATCATTCATTATTTACTGTGGCCACACCCCCTTCTGACTCGTATGCATGCGCATATGATAAAACAAAACTTCTGATCCACAGTTCATGCTGTAAAGAGTAATCTTGCGAGATATTTTTTTTTTTTTTCATGAACGAGATCTAATTTCAATGACAAAGCAATCCCAGTGTGCAATAAGTTGGCAAACTGAACTACTTTGCACATGGAAAGCAGGAAGTGATTGCGTTGCAAGTGTAAGTATTTCAATATAACCGCATTTTACGCCTGACATGTCTATGTTATTATTAATCAGCATAGATAGAGGAATGCATTGGTGGGATTTGACTTTTGAGTGTGAAGGTCCGCTTTAAAATAAGATCCCTGTTTATTTAATTTGCACACGATTGGATAACTGAAGTGAATCTTCACAAATTGTATTGCGTGAACAATCTTGAATTCCTCAGGAAATCAGCCTCACTGTCTCAGAATTCAACACACAGCTTGATTTCAGATTACCAATAACCTTTTGCATGAAATATGGCTTCCAATGTTTCCTTCCTGGGAGTTTTATCCATGGTTATAGAACTGCATGTCTAAATGGATGCTGGGATGCAATATTTCTGACTACAATATTATAGAGAAGGCCAAAATTCCCACTAAACACTTACTTTGCAAACTGTTTGGTACAGGCACTGGAATGGTTTATGCTAAAAAAAAACAACCATTTTTTTTCTGAATAAAACTGAATTCCAAAGTGATATTTAAGTCGAAAGGATTTTAAGCTATTTTAAATGCTGATGAAATCACTTACAATGGATGCTACTCCTTGATGTTTAAAAGTTTTAGTTTCCTGCAGAATCATCTGGTCCCCTGGTCCTGACTTCCTGTTTTAGTGTGTGCTAGTAAGGTGTGTGTGTCACCACAAACACAGACTCCACAAATCAAACTACTTCCCTCCACCTTCACCCCCTCCTCCCTTCTCCAAACTAGTAGATGAATAGTTGTTGGGGTCTGCTCTGTCTCTTGTGATCTTGTACTAGACAGTAAGTTGAGGGAAGCTTAGCTGTGTATTTGTTTGATCTTGATTCATTATTCAGAAAAAGTTTGAGAGTTTAGTACTACTTTAACTTTCAATTAAGTGTGTGTGTGGGTTATAAACGTGTTTGCAAGAAAACCTTCCTTTGGGCGCAAAAAACAAATGTCATGCTAACTACCGCAATGTTTTATTTCTGTTCTGCATTTTTTTTAAAGTGCTCTTTCGACATATTCATGTTTGCGACTCACTGCACACGTTTTCCAACATTTCGTATAATATTTCAACTGCGTGGTATTTGTGTTCTGCAATTGCGTGCAAACTTCCAAATCGATAACACGTAGCCACCTGCACTCCATACAGTGTACAGACCTTGACGGAGAGTTGGTGCTTAACTACCTTCCGTCCATGGCCGTTTGTGAACGGCCGGACGGAGGTCTGCTAGGAGCGGGAGGGCGTCTTGAGACGTCCTGCCCCTCCCCCTTCTCGTGTGCGTCACTCAGCGCGCACACGAGAGGGAAAACGGTAAGCATGTAAACAGCCAGCGATTTACATACAATCTGTCCCCCAAAAATGGTATGAAATTCATTTCAGTACAGCGTTGCATGACGGAATAAACATCAGTCAAAGTACCGCAGCGCTGAATACTGAAAAATGGCCTGGCCAGGAAGGGGGTGAAACACCATGGCCTATAAGTGGTTAAAGTGACAACACGGATGTGCCGTGTCAGATAAGGTCCATAATAGAAGTCACCAGCAGTCGATGATATGTGCAAGAAGTAAAGCACTTTTTATTAAATTGTCACATGCGTCATATAGCCAGACAGCCATGTATGACGCAAGTGACAATTTAATAAAAAGTTGTTTACTTCTTGCAAATATCATCGAGTGCTGGTGACTTCTATTACAGACTTACAAATCATCGCACATCCTAGAGGAGCTGATAAGCACTTCTTTAAGTGTGGCAAAGATAATTCACCTTCACTTCCTCAAGTCAGGCATTCAGCTGTCATTCAGGAGGTTCCTTGCAAGCTTGCGAAAGTTTAGAGATTGGGACAATTTTGATGCGGTTCTCCTTATGAAGGCATTTAAGAATGAAAAATAAGGTAACCGGCAAACACTGTATAACATGCTGATTGTTACTACCTTGAAAACCCAATAAATATTTGGATACAAAGAATGAAAAATAAACTAGGATAATACATCTTTTGTTTTATGCACTATAAATCAGGGATACAACATTTAAAAGACACTGATGATGCAACAACATTGATAAATCCCCCCGAGTGTATTTTTAGTGAGCACATGGTAATAGTTATTATTGTAATGTTTATCTTAAATTGAACCTGCGAAGAGAGAAATCTGTAGGTTGCCATTGTTTACCTTGTTCTGTTAATGCTGGCTGCCTAGCTACCATGTAGATCCCAAAAGTTTACTATAGAGACTAATGCCAAGAACAAGCATGCAGCAGCAGCAGCAGCAGCTTGCAATCTAAAAATGGGAGGTCAGAAAAGCCAGAAATGACTTTTATGTAACAAATGTTTTGTTCCCTCTGTATTTTTATTGAAATAAAAAAAAAAATTAAAAATAAGAAATGGTAGCTCACATAGAAGAAAACTTTCTCTTATAGTGATTGTTAATGCAACAATCAGAGCTCCTCAATACCCTAAAAGCTTGCTTGGTTCTTGCAAGTTCTGAATTGTAGGAGGGGAGATAGTTTGCTAAAGATTGTTAAAGTAATACCTCACCACTTAGCAAGCTTTTAGGGTGGTGAGGAGGTCTGATTGTTGCAGTAACAATCACTCCAAGAGAAAGTTTTCTTCTAAGTGGTAAGGTATTACGCTAACAATCTTTAGCAAACTATCTCCCCTCCTGCATTTCAGAACTTGCAAGAATCATAATGGTTACCACATGCTGTTTCTGATTGGCGTCTGGTAAAATTAGATGCCTTTGGTGTACAAGTCACATAATGTTTCACCTAGGCCTATTACATACAACCTCATTCACTGCAGTTTTGCACATTTACTGCTAGATTCTAAACAATCATCCAGAGGGTTGACGTTTATAAAGCAGAGAAGATGGGAAGGAGAGAATACATCTATTCTATAATTATGGATCATTACACTAATCGAAAAACATGGAATCCCTCATTTTACTCACATGGATTCTCTCGTTGCACGCCAGTGAAAACACAGCATGATGCTGCTAATGGGCAAAAAAAATGTGAGGTTTGTGTTTGTTTCCATGCACAATGCCACTTTCCTTATCAACTACAATATCAACTTCACTTACAATAGTTACAAAAAGAGTGAGCAACATGGATGGCCAAACTGCGGCCCTGCAGCTGTGGTGGAACTACAAATCCCAAGAGGCTTTGCAAGATTCTCACAGCCACAGACATGACTCCCAGAGGGAGATGCTTCATGGGATTTGTAGATTCACCATAGGTGGAGCTTTGCGAGATTCTCACAGCCACAGACATGACTCCCAGAGAGTGATGCTTCATGGGATTTGTAGTTTCAACATAGGTGGAGAGCTGGAGTTTGGCCATCCCTGCCTTAGGTCAACATTGGTTTATGGCCGGGCAATGTTGATCTTGAAGGTTGGCATAAGCTGCTAGCATATTACCAGCAACATTTAATTAGCTGTTTCCATTACCTGGCTAATGGAGAGGATGGTACCCTGTAGCAGGGACAAATAAGGAGGTATGAATGTTTTTTTTTCTAAAACTGTCTTGAAACCCTTATTGTTAAGCCACTGGCTGCCAAGGTCCTGCAAGTAATCAGGTTGAAAATATGCAATTTGCAAATTTTATTGTGCATCAGTTTGAATGATCTGATTGTGTAAACATAACTACACACTTTAGAGCATGCACCCCTAAATCTGCAGTGTATGGCTGGAATAGGAAACATTCATTTGTTGGCAGGCTCCTCCATGACACTGACCAACATACTTTGGCCAAGCCTGCTTTGTGAAAAAGTGGTTAGCTGGGATGGATTTTCCTGAAAGGTCACTATTATTTTTCCTGAAACAACCAGTGCTTAC